TCTAAAATTACCTTCATAGCAATTTTATATTCTAAAAGGGCACTAGAAATGTCATAGATAAGAAAAAGAGCAATATTTGCGGTCTGAAAACAAAACTCAACTATCCCTTTAATATGTTTGGATTAGCAAGTTGCGCTTGTTAAATGGCGACTGGGTAGAATGCTCCGCAGGGAGTGGAAAATGTGCCTGCATTGTGTTGCGGGTGTTGCAGTTTTTAACTCATCCGGCCCGAAGGGCCCGGTGAGCTTATGCCATGGCGTGGTGTCCGTCGTCCGACGTCCGTCCGTCCTTCCACAGTTTTCAAAATGCTTCTTCTTCGTTATTTTTCAACCGATTTTGATTTTGATTGTATCATAATTATGATCGGGCTAGGAGGGGGATTTTAAACTTCTACACAGCATCGTGAAATTCATTATCTATGCTAATTTATTCAAATTTATTCGAAATTACAAAACCTGCTTCTTCTCCCTCATTTCTTGACCGATTTTGATTTTGTTTGTCTAAAAATCTGGTAGAGCTAAATTTGAAACATTAAACTTCTACACAGAATTTTGAGATTTAGCTCCATTGATTATTTATGGTAATTTATTCAAATTTATTCCAAAAATAACAAAAAATGCTCCTTCTCCTTCATTTCATTTTTAAAGTTTTGTGCAAAATATTAGGATGATTATTTGCAAATTTGATCTCTCACAGAAAACACTTGATTTGTGGATTAAAAAGAGGAGAAAAGAGATGTTGAAAATTAAATGTTCAGAACGCATTTTGTTTTCAGCAAAGCGCTACTCCTGGGCGCTACTATAGCGCAAGGCCAGGATAGGCGTAGGCATGGCAATCACACTGCATACCCCCCCCCCTTGCACACACACTTTGGATAGGAAGAACTATGGTAGTAGGGTCCATAGTAAAACAATGCTCAGTTATTGTTTATGCTGGTGGCCAAATCTGGCAAAAATATAACAATTTTTATAAATGATAGAAAATATATTTTGCCATATTTTTCTGTTGACAATTTACTGACTATTTATACCTCTGTCCTTTCCATATTATAATAAAAGGTGAGTATGTTTACATTTATCTCTTACTAAGTTTGAGTCCTGCTTGTCATAAAACTATATATTTTTCAACCAATTTTTCATTCCATTTCCTTTAGTTTCTATTTAATCTTGTACAGCTTAATGAAATTATGTCCCTTCCAGGGCATCACATTTTTATTTTTTGAACAGTTTAAAAGTGTACAACATAAAATTTACGATATTTGTTGTTGCGAGATGCGGATGAGCGCTACGTCATTGACGTTCTGGTTCATAATGTCACAACTTTTGTTGTGTGTAGCGCCCTCTATACCAAAACTCAACTACCCCTTTAATCGCTATAAAAAAGCGGAATATTAGTTATAAATTCAACAATCACTAACAGTTATCATCATTTTATTGACATATTGGTAGACAAACGAGACAAATAATCGATCACTTGGGGGTTGCAGTATTTGTTGCTCACCTTTTTAACATTATTTATAATTTATTACATGATACAAACATGTTCTTATAGACAATCGATAAATAGTAAAATAAGATTTACTAGTTAACTCATCAACAAAATTACGTAACATATATTCCCCTTTCTTACTTTGAAGAGCAAGACAATTTTTATTTAAACAAAGTGTACGTTCCATATTTTCTAAATGTTCAAGAGATCGTAGAAAAGAGCGAAATAGTGAAACATTGTTTTGCGTTTTACACGTATTAGTATAAAATATTTTACCGAAATAATAGCAGTATTGACAAAATAGAAATAATTATTAAACGGAGTACGAAAAAAAAAACACATTTGTGAACAAAACATTACGTATATTTTGTTGCTCTTGGTGACCAGCTGTGTAACTGTGATCATCAGCGATGATCTTGGCTACCGGGGGGGGGGGGGTACAATGTGCAAAACAGCTTAATTTAAAGGCTAATTAAGAGTTTTCACGATAATGGGGTGTCTGGATTCCAGGACATTGGTGTATCCATGCAGTCAGGCGCGTACGCAGGGGGGGGGGGGGGGGGGGGGTGTTTGGGGGGTTAAACCCCCCCCTTTGGTAATTTTATGTGTTGTAAACCCCCCTAAAAAATACCTAAAACCCCCCCCCCCCTTTGGATTTTTTTTTTTTTTTTAATTATTTAAAAAAAAAAAAAAAAAAAAAATTACCCCCATGGCTGACCTAAGAAAGGTGACCTTACCCGCCCCAACGGAACAAAATGTCAAATTTTCAAATTTCAAGACCCCCCCCCCCAAAAAAATTTATCCTCTTACCCCCCCCCCCCCCCCCCCCCCCCCCCCCCCCTGAGCGACTTTTTGGCCGGCGCGATTTTCAAATTTTCCTGAGTCGTTGCGAAATTTTGGACCGGATTTTAAACCCCCCCCCCCCCCCTTGAAAAAATCCTGCGTACGCCACTGCATGCAGTATAGAACGAAACCGCCAAAGCCTCCTTCTTGTTGGGGCCACAACCCAAATAAATGGAATCAAAAGTGCCGATTGTTGGGCACATAATTACACGGCCTCATGTACATTTGCCGCAAGATGTCGTGAAAATAATTTTCCGCCACAGCTTTTGTAAAGCTATAGCTTTATTCATGCATTTCACGAGTTATCAAAAGATATTAATAACTATTTAGCAATGGATTGAATACATACTGAGGCAAAAATGACCAAATCTAAGGTATATTTGGCCATCTTGTGTCCCGTACGCTACCAATTACATGTATCTTGAAATAATAAACGTGATGAATATTGAAACTATAGATTATTTCTTGATAACTTTCTTCCTCTTCTTATTCTTCCTTCCCTTCTTCAACTTCTCCTACTTATCATTTTTATATTATTTTCTTTACCCTTTTTTTTTTTTTTCTTTTCTTCTCAAATTCACTCTCATTGTACGTCTCTAGAATCTCATGCTATACTTCCCCGTTTTCGCCTCCTACAATACACCCTCATCCTACTATTTAAGAAATTGTGTAAACCTAAGCTTTTATATATAACCAAACTACAATTATGTTTCCTTATGCAAAGATTCAATACCCACACTCTGTCTTTATATTTAATTAATATGTTTTCTTTAAAATCTCTTCAAATATTGGTAAAAGGGGAATGAGAGAGAGAAAGAGAGAGAGAGAGAGAGAGAGAGAAGAGAGAAAAGAAGAAAAAAGAAAGAGGGGGTGTACATCAAGATTCACAGATATAGATAGATAGATAGATAAATGGTATTTATTGATTCATGTCCATGTATCGCAGTTACAAGTAACTGAATTGTGCATATGTGGTACAATGTAGTTGGATTTCAATTTGATATGTGAAGATAAAAAAGAAGATGCACATTTGAATGTTGGATGACTAACTTGGGATATATTATCGAATGAGAAGAAAGAGGGGGGTGTACATCAAGATTCACAGATATATGTGGTACAATGTAGTTTGATTGCAATGTCACAGTTTTATAATGTTTTGATTGCCCATTGACTGTATTTTTACACATTGTTTTAATTGATGTTGGAATTTGGAAATAGTTTATCTTACAGGCGGAAACATTTGTTGGTTTTTTGTTTGTTTGTTTATTATCATTACAGATTGCTATCAGAAGGTTTTACCGAAGATATTTAGGTGAAGTTTACACCATTGTTGGAGTTGCAGAATAAAAGAGAAGTTTGTTGGACATAAGCAAATTGTTTCCAGTGTTCATTTTCATCAGGGTGCCTTGTTCATACTGACAACAGTTGGACATCTATTGTTAGCTAGACGAAACTCCTTCATATAAAGATTTATGAAGGCAGCCATATGCCGTGTGAGTCAAAGAAAAGTTTTCACCTAGAAAATTGCTAATTTAAAAAAATCATCTATGAACAGTAAATTATTATACATTTTATGAAAGAGTGTTGTATCCCAAATCATTTGGTATCATTTTTGTGTGGTATGTGTTCCCGCTTGAATGAACAGGAGGCATTGTTTGCGAGAGTGCAAAAATCGGCTTGCGCCAAAGTGATGCCTATACAGCATGTATTATGTTGGGATTTGCGGAGTGAGAGAATGAATCGAATGTATTAAATTAAATGCATTGCATATGCCTTTTGCAGAAGCAAAGTCACACACACATACACACACGCACAGAAATGTTCGTTGATATTTGATAATCGATATTTGATATGTGTGGCATGATTAATTTTGTTAGGGATGTTATTTGGATCTGCAAAGACCGAATTAATACCCAAATCCCAATAGGACATTTTCGTAATGTAACCAAATTTAATGCATACGTCTTTGTGAAATGCCTCAATACAAATTATTTCATTCACCTGATAAGAATATTAGTATTTCAATAGACAGAATCCAAACTGTATACATTAGTTGTTGTCAGGCTGGACAAGCATTGTGGCTTGACCTACCTAGCAACACTTAATATATGCAGTTACATTCTGAATATTGAAATACTATTATTCCTATCAGGTGAATGAAATAATTTGTATTGAGGCACTTCACAAAGACTTATGCATTAAATTTGGTTACATTAGGAAAATGGCCTATTGTCCCAAATCAAACATCACACAAGCAACTTTGGCGCAAATCGATTTTTGTACTCTCGCAAACAATGCCTCCAGTTCATCCAAGCGTGAACGCATACCACACAAAAATGATACCAATGATTTGGGATAAACACTCTTTCATAAGATGTATAATCATTTACTGTTCATAGATGATTTTGTAAATAATTAGCAATTTTCTAGGTGTAAACTTTTTTTTCCTCACACTGTACATGTTTATGCTTATAATATTCCATCGTAAAATCCCGTTCAGGTTCGAAAAGGTGCCATGATATCCCTTTGTTATAGGAATACACGGTAGACTGAGCACTTGGACCATCTCCCTGTACTGAGGTAGTATGTTGTCGATGCGACTGTTCATGCGATTTCACATATATAGTACATACTCTCCCCAGTTAAACATGATTCGTTCAAAACTTCCGCCATCAACACCACTCGTAACATCATCACAGGTCTATACCATTCCTGATCTAGAGGAGCATACCAAGCATTTCAGCTAAGGGAAACCCTGTTTCAAAATGGAAGGCTTGCGAGATTCACAAGATGGATGGAAGTACGTCATCGTCCTGACTAAATTCGTCATCCAGTTCGTTGAAATGGCGACGTCAAAGTCGTTTGGAGTCTTGATTCCTACCATGATATATTTGTTCTCGACAGATGCTTCTTCTTTAGGCCTTGCGTGCAGCATGCCTACGTCCATGATGCTCTTAGGATGTGAGTATACATCTTTTATGATTTTCATTTCACCAATATCATACTACATCATACTACATTAGTCCAGTAGACGGTACCATATACCATGTACATGACCTGGAAAAGTTGATAAGTACAAGGTTTTTTTGTTGATGTGTGTTCTAGATGGGTATTGAAGTAAATTCAGCTTGGTTGCCAGCTTGGCAACCTTGAGCAACTTTTTTAATGGCCATATTAGCATAATCATCTAATTAGCATAATGTGCAACATGTAATAATGTTGCTAATCTCAATCCAGGAAGCCTGAAAACATGGATAATACGACTTTTTAAGTGTTTTCTATGAAGAGGAATTCATCTATGACACCAGTTTTTGATTCCAAGTAATGCAATTGTCTTAAATAGCATAATTAGCATAATGAGCTAATAAGCATGTGTACAATATATGGACTTCATTGTCATTGTTTATCTATAAAGCCTAAAAATGGTGCAATGCAACATTGTAAATCACTTTTGAAAGACTAATCATTAATTCATGAGAAGATATTCCATGTAGATGTAGTATAATTACCCTAATTAGCATAAAAATCGAATTAGCATATATGTGCAATATGTAATAATGTTGCTAATCTTAATCCAGGAAGCCTGAAAACGTGGATAAGGTGACTTTTCAAGGATTTTCTATGAAGAGTAATTAATTTATGACACCAGTATTTATTTGTAAGTAATGCAATTGTCTCAAATATCATAATGAGCTAATTTATTATGTACGATATATGGATTTCATTGTCATTGTTTATCTATAAAGCCTAAAAATGGTGCAATGCAACATTGTAAATCAACTTTTGAAAGACTACACATTAATTCATGAGAAGATATTCCATGTAGATGTAGTATAATTAGCCTAATTAGCATATACACTGTATGTGCAATATGTAATAATGTTGCTAATCTTAATCCAGGAAGACTGAAAATAGAGCTAACATGACTTTTCCGGGATTTTCCATGATAAGGGATTCATTTGGGACACCACTTGTTATTTTTAAGTAATGCAATCGGATTAATATGTAATTATTGTACTAATAAGCCTAATTAGTATATTTGTAGAATATCAATTATTTGGGACTCTATTGAGTTTCACAAATTGTATGTCCAATGTGGTGGTTATCATGGTCGCAGGGCAATGTTGTCAAACCTTATGAAATGTCGAGGAAATGACGGGGTCATCTTACGCATTGATGGTTGGGCTTCAGTCCTTGGATTAAAGAGACTGTCCGAAATATACTGAAGATGGTTAAAGCAGATGATAGTGGTGGAATTGATGATGTGGTGAGACAGGTATGTACATAGGCCAGGGATGTTGAATACAACAGTGCAAAATATGATCTGTCTATGTTTACCAAAGCCAGAACCATTGAGAGTACAAGCCCGACGTTGCTCAAGCTTGTGACAGAATTCCTGGAAAAGTCATATTATCCATGTTTTCAGGCTTCCTGGATTGAGATTAGCAATATTATTATATATTGCACATAATATGCTAATTAGATTATTATACTACTTAGAGTAATTATACTACATCTACATGGAATATCTTCTCATGAATTAATGATTAGTCTTTCAAAAAAGATTTACAATGTTGCATTGCACCATTTTTATGCTTTATAGATAAACAATGACGATGAAGTCCATATATTGTACACAATATGCTTATTAGCTCATCATGCTAATTATCCTATTTAAGACAATTGCATTACTTGGAATGAAAAACTGGTGTCATAAATGAATTTCTCACCATAGAAAACCCTTGGAAAGTCGTATTATCCATGTTTTCAGGCTTCCTGGATTAAGATTAGCAACATATTACATGTTGCACATAATATGCTTATTAGATTATTATGCTAATTAGGGTAATTATATTACATCTAAATTGAATATCTTCTCATGAATTAATGATTAGTCTTTAAAAAGTGATTTACAATGTGCATTGCACCATTTTTAGGCTTTATAGATAAACAATGTCAATGAAGTTCATATATTGTCCCGCCCCCCCCCCAACTCCGAGAACGGACGGACCCCATGCGTGTTGCCAAAATGTCCTTTTCGTAACAAAAGAAAAAAGTCGACCCGTATTGACTTTACACACCGGACTTTTGCTGAAAGGGGGGGGGGGGGGTGCTGAAAAAGGCTCGTATACAAAAGAAAAAGGTCGAGCCGTATTGACTTTACACACCGGACTTTTGCTGAAAAGGGGGGAGGGGGGTCGGTTGGAACACGCACATGCGTACCCTAAATAACACTGGGTGGGGGGCCGGGATATATTGTACACATGCTTATTAGCTCATCATGCTAATTATCCTATTAACGACAATTGCATTACTTGGAATGAAAAACTGGTGTCATAAATGAATTCCTCACCAGAGAAAAACCCTTGGAAAGTCGTATTATCCATGTTTTCAGGCTTCCTGGATTAAGATTAGCAACATATTACATGTTGCACATAATATGCTTATTAGATTATTATGCTAATTAGGGTAATTATATTACATTTAAATTGAATATCTTCTCATGAATTAATTATTAGTCTTTCAAAAGTGATTTACAATGTTGCATTGCACCATTTTTAGGCTTTATAGATAAACAATGTCAATGAAGTTCATATATTGTACACATGCTTATTAGCTCATTATGCTAATTATGCTATTTAAGACATGCATTACTTGGAATGAAAAACTTGTGTCATAAATGAATTCCTCACCATAGAAAACCCTTGAAAAGTCGTATTATCCAAGTTTTCAGGCTTCCTAGATTTAGATTAGCAACATTATTACATATTGCACATATATGCTTATTAGATTTATGCTAATTAGGGTAATTATATTACATCTACATAGAATATCTTCTCATGAATTAATGATAAGTCTTTCAAAAGTGATTTACAATGTTGCATTGCACCATTTTTAGGCTTTATAGATGAGCAATGTCAATGAAGTCCATATATTGTACTTATGCTTATTAGCTCGTTATGCTAATTATGCTATTTAAGACAATTGCATTACTTGAAATAAAAAAAAAATGGTGTCATAAATGAATTCCTCACCATAGAAAACTCTTTAAAAGTCGTATTATCCATGTTTTCAGGCTTTCTGAATTGAGATAAGCAACGTTATTACATCTTGCACATATGCTAATTAGATGATTATGCTAATATGGCTATTAAAAAAGTTGCTCAAGGTTGCCAAGCTGGCAACCAAGCTGAATTTACTTCAATACCCATCTAGAACACAAATCAACAAAAAAAAACCTTGTACTTAACAACTTTTCCAGGTCTGAGAAACTTCTACAGGACTATATTGTATTAACCCAAATATCTCATACTTTGGAGCTCATCGTGGACTTCCATGCGACACTTCTTTTATAAGTCTGAATTTATTGAACTCCAAAATCTTTGAAAGATGATCTAAAAAGGTCAGATTTGTCGAATAAATTTTGTGAACGTGCGAATTACGTAAGCCCATTAAGTGTTATGTCTTTGTTTTTTTAAACTTTTTACTCAGGTTGCATGCATACTACCTTTGTTTAAAAGTATGTATATCACCCCTCCCCCAATGTCTCTCTGTATCATTCTCTGGCGTTATTTTTCCACAATTGGCAAAACGTCACAAAACCTCCGAATAAAATAACATTCAGACCTTCATTGGCATCGTTTGTAATTTTTATCTTGAAACTACAGTCCTCAGATGTATACTCAGCAGTCCTGTAAAGAAAATGCTGCCTTTAATTTACTTCCTAACAATAAAATAAGGAAGGTCGATATTTTGTTTAAAGGAAGCTTAACCCCAAGGATATTTGTAGTTAATCAGAGATTTATTGTATTATTGTATTATTGTATTAATTATCCATTAGTCTACAAGATCTCCACCAAAGTATATAAAAGAGGTATGAAGCAAGATATTCTGATCATAATGTATATTTTCTCAGGACGATCAGGCATCATCGCCATTTTCTAGATAATGTGACGTAGATGCAAAGTCGTTTATGAAGTAAATGTATTCAAATTGATGGATGCTTCTTCCCAGGTGTGTATGGTGATGAAGTATTTCATTCAATTGCTATTATTCGTTGTATTACAATAAATTGTCAGAACGCAAACTGCATACATAAGTTGGTGCTCTTCTGGGAAGAAGGTTTCGCATTTATAATGGGGACTTTTAGATTTACACGACGAGAACGTGGACCGCCAAGTGTGACATCCTTTTGAGGTTATGTGACGTCCTTTTAAGGCACTGCCGGGCACGGCCTAGTGCCTTATCACAATGTCACACGCGGCAGTCCACGCTCTCGTCGTGTAAATCTAAAATTCCCTAATAAAGATTTGTCAACTGCTATACTTAAGTATTTTTAAACGAATGACTTAGGATGGTTCCCATTTATGTATTTGTCACCAAATTTAATTTTTACCTTCTCAGCATCGATTTCCCCTCATTGAAAATTAAACGTTTGCTGAATTAAAAAGTATTTAAAAAAAAACTTGGTGCATGGCACATATATAAGTTAGTGTGGTACATCACATTATCAAGAAAATGGCTGTACCCATGACATGTTAAAAGGCGTTACATCATGCCAAATATATATATTTTTTTGTATATACAGTACACGCCGAAAATCTCCGCAACACGATTACACGATTTATTTTTAGGATTACACGGTTTACACGATTCACCTGAATCGTGTAACTGTGTAATCGTGTAAATTTACACGATTGAAGAATGTCGCTCTGAATCGTGTAATCGTGTAAATAGTTAAGTGCATTGGTCGGATGATTCGACCAGATGTAACAATCGTGTAACTGTGTAATCGTGTAAATTTACACGATTGAAGAATGTCGCTCTGAATCGTGTAATCGTGTAAATAGTTATTAGGGTTATAAGGGCATTGGTAGAACGATGCGACAAGCTGCAACAATCGTTAAATCTTATCCTGCTTACACCAATTGCTTTATACACAACTTACCTTCAGTGTACATCAGTTAATTACTGTACTTTATATTCGTGTATAAACCTCAGCACTTTCCACTAACATGTATCGTATACTAATCCGTGAGACAAGGTAGGAAAACGTCAGAAACAGGAAGACATGATAGATGAAATAGTAAAGGAAAAAAGATAGCTACGAGGAGAAGGGAACATATAAAAGGAAAATGAGGGTTGAAAGGCACGATAAAGATAAACAGAAAAAAAGAGAGAAAAAAGGGAAAACTAAAAAGTTGACCGGAAGAAAAGAAAGAGTGAAATAGAGTGATAAAAAAAAAGAAGGGCGAAACCAAGTAAAATTAACAGAAATGAGAAGGCTATGAAACGGAGAGGAAAAGAGACAAATTAATAAGGTAAGAGGGGAACATAATGAGGGAAAGAGAGGCGAGAAAGATATGGGGGAATGGAAAGATATTGAAAGAAAGTGAGAGAGAGAGAGAGAGATAAAAAAAAAAGCTTTAGTTGAAAGAAAAGGGGCACCGATCAGATTTTAATAGGGGCATTTATCGGAGTTGATGGGGGCATTTATCAAAAGTGAAGAGGGGTACTTCTCGTACTTAAAGAGGGATACTTACTAGAGATTAAAAGGACACTAATGAGAAAGGAAAATGGACACTTATTGTAAAGGAAAATAGGAACTCGTCGAAGGAAAAGGGGTGTGTGTCAAAAGAAAAGGAGAACTTATCAGAGTTGAAAAGGGGAAGGGGCACTTACAAATTAATAGGGACACTTGTCAAAGTAAAATAGGTACTTTTCCTACATACAAAGGGGCACTTTGGGGGAACTTGAAAAAGTGGGGGGACACTGTGCCGCTAGCTAAACGTAACTCAAAGACAGTTGGCCATTCACTTATTCTATTCATTCTCGGCTTGCAACTGTTCCCTACACTCTGTAGCCAGTGGCTTACATACTTACATACATGTAATACCTATTGTTCAGGGGGATCCTATGTTCAAGGGGAACCCCCTGAACAATAGGTATTATGTAAGGATCTCTGCCTGTAGCTAGGGCAACGGCCTTTGTCCCCGGCGAGGGTCAATGGCAGGCCACATTCAGAGTAAGCTTCTTTTGTATGTGACAGGAAGTGTGCCCTTAAGCCTTGACCGTAGCTCTTTATACATATAGCTGAATAATGCAATGTTGTAAAAGGTAATTTACGAAAATGAGGAACTCTAAAAAAGCAATAAGTGATCAAAGTCTAAGGCCCGAATTCACAAAGGAGGTTTGTCGACAAACCTTGGTTTTCGTGCGTCATATGACGCGTTTTTACAAACCAGGTTTGTAAAATGGATAATGATTGAATAAAAAAAAGTATAACGATATTCATAGTAACGAATGAGCTGGTGAACCGTAATTCTAATTGGTACAGCCTTGTAATGTAAGAGTATCACAACATACTTAATTATGTTAGCCCTCCTTTACATTTTGTAATCATTTTTACTTATTTACAACTTAGGAATAACAAAATTCCCCCCTTCCTTCGTCGTTCATCGCTTTTTTCTTTTTCTCACCGAGGATTAAATCCGAGAGTGCTTTTCGGGAAGTGGACTGATTTTTTTAACTTTCAAACGTTCTATAATAAAACTAGAGACAAGACACTGCAATTAAAAATATATACAAGAGAAAGAAAGCGTAATCTTCGCTATCCCCTCGTATCGTCCACGTTGTCCTCGTTCAACCAAGAAGTAACTTCTTGCTTTTACCGAACTAGACGTCCTTAACCTGCTCACCATCACCACTGAAAATAAATTGTAACACAATTCCAGCGAGCAATCGAATCGTGTAAATTTTGAATCGTGTAATCGTGTTGCGGAGATTTTCGGCGGGCAGATTACACGATTACACGATTCGACCTGAATTGAGGAATCGTGTAATTTTACACGATTACACGTTTACACGATTCAAATTTCGCTTCATTGGCAAAAAACGAATCGTGTAAAAATAAATGGTTACACGATTCCCGCGAGCAGTCGAATCGTGTAAATTTTGAATCGTGTAAATCGTGTTGCGGAGATTTTCGGCGTGTACTGTATCTCTCGTACACTTTCTTAAGGAATGTTGTCCATCAAAAGACAGGAATACATCTTACATGTCAGCATGCCTACACTTATTGTTTTGGGTGACTTTTCCCTTAATAACTAGCAAAAACTATAATTTACTATCTGAGACTTTCGGCCTATTGGGTCTTCTATTTGAATTTAAGAGTGAGGATGGCAGGAGCGGTATACATGACATTATGTGCTACTTCTGGCTGTCTGTTTCGTGAAATATCAGTCGCAGGGGTTTTCGGTCTACAAGGACCACCCTGTTGTAATTTAACCGTTTCCATTTCGCATTGCGCAGCTTTACCCGTTGCTTATATTCTGAAGAGCGGCTACATATCACCTCGAGTGATGGCGGTCAATGGAGCTATCATATCATCGTTAGGAATCATCATTTCCGGTTATCTGACATCTGTTATCCCTCTCGGTTTCTGCCTTGCCCTAACAGGTAAATACATAGATAGCGAGAAATGTATTTAAATCAATCAATAGGCCTATTCTATTAATACAACACTACGCTGACATTGACTGAATGTTGCATGTTTATTTGGGTAATTACATAAATTAGGGACCCACTTTAATCGTGACATTTTTTGTTTCCCACTTACATAAGGCATAAGGTATAATTATGTGTATTCTTTTTCCGCTTTGTACTGTCTTGTGTATTCAGACAGTAGCCTAGAAATGAATGTCCCATTTTACATGCTTTATCTTGTTATATTCAATAAATAAATTATGTGATTTTGTTTTTAAAGTGGGACCTTACATTATGATAATTGGTACGGGTAAGGTCCAATGGGCACATAAGGCAGAAAATAAATGATCAGAATATGTAACTGCCCTGTTAGGACAGGCATTTTTCATCCGTGAATTAAATCAGTGAAGGGACACCTTTTTCATGGCCCGAGGGATATTCAATTATTCTGGGAAATGTTGAGGTTTTGCACCCCTGTCTTCTCTGAAAGTTGGCTCCAATTTTTAGCAACTGCTTATCTCAATGCTCATCAGCACACAATGCAAATCTTGCATACAATCATTTTGTAAAGCTCACATTATTTTGCCGGACGTAATGTTTGCATGTGATACAAACGCTTTCACTCTGTTACCACAATCTGTCACAAAACATTTTGACATGCCATTTTTAAAATAATGTTGCTTGATGAAGCCTGTATGAATTATTGCAACCCCTCCCCTCCCCTCCTCCCCTACCCCGGAAATGTTCCGCCACCGCAATAAATGGAAGTGTATCCAAGTTTGAAAAACTTAGACTCTACTAAGATTAATAATATTTTCATAATTTACTTTCTTTCCACATACTTGTCTCAAGGATTTGGACTGTCGATGGGGTACCTACCAGCCAAAGTCTTACTCAACGACTACTTCCAGGATACATTCATACTTATGAACTCTTTAGGTAGTCTAGGAATCGATGTAGGTGCATTAGTTGGTCCAGTCATCATTGAGAGGGCGCTAGATGCGTATGGGTTCAGTGGTGCCATGCTCATCCTTGGAGGGATCAGCTTGCATGCAATTCCAGCCAGTATAGCTCTTAGGACAGTAAAGGGTTCTCGCAAAGCCACACAGATTCAGAAAAGAGAAGGTTGTCAAGAACCTTTAATCGATCCTAATGGTGATGAAAAGAGTGTTGTTAAGACTGTAGATGATGGTGAAATAGTTAGCTCGGACGACCTAGCTTCATCGTCAAAAGAAATTAGCCAATATCGAGAAGATCACACTGAGAGGGTATCTGCAGAACATGATGTTTTACCTTGGAGGCAACGATTTTCGCAGTGGTTTTGGCACTGCATTATTGTGGAAGAACCTCTCCTGTTACTTTCACTTCCTATTCTTTTCCTCACATCATTCGTTGTGCAATCATGGATTTTATTTCTTGTTCCAAGAGCAATATGGCACGGAATTCCAAGTTCTAAAGCCGTCTTGCTGTCATCAATTGGAGGTGGAGGTGGCGTCCTAGGGCAAATTCTATGCATTGCGATTCTCTTCTTCTTCAGAGTTGACTTTATTGTCGTTTCCCTGATCCTGAGTGTGATATCATCAACTACCTTCTTAATTGACCCACTGCTAACATCGTTCCCAGTCATGTGCGTCACGGCGTTTATCCAAGGGTTGTGCGTCTTCAGCGCAGGAATATCTTCTGCTGCATTCCTCAAGGGCTCTGTGTCTAATGAAAACTTCACGGTTGCCGTAGGGATCTTTGGTGTGGTGTACGGCATCGGAGGGATTGTCGGAAGTTTGTTGTCAGGTAAGCCACAAGTAAAATTAGATTTTAATAGGTTGACTTAGATAGGAAATACAATAAAAGATTGATGTTTTTGTTGAAATCGTATGAAATTACACAGACATCTTAGATCTTCATGCTCACAACGAAAATGATATAAACACTGTAATAAATACTGTTGAATAATAAATATTTTTTTAAAAACAACGCAATGCAGGATCAGTTATACCCATAAGCGTACGAGGTAGGGGTGACTAAGGGCTGCAGCCTCCGAGAATGACTTACCAATATTTGAGCATCCGTAATCCAATATTCGAGATGCGACGTGGTCTGATTGTAATCATCGAGAGTTTGAAAGTGTCAATTGTTTTGTTAGCGCGCAAATTTTATAGACCGGAAAGCTGATATTTCCAAGCCTAAGAATCCGGCCCTAGAATAATTCAACCCGTGCGATGATGGTTATAGAGTACCGAAGTGTTACATCTTACTTGCCAAGTTGTCAAAGTTGCTGGTTCCATCCAATTTTGTGCTAAACAATGGAGTGGTCATCACACACGCCCCAAACACTGAATTAGCCATGCTCCGGTCCGTTGCTTGGATGATTTCGCGGTGAACCTCACACCCTGGGTCTGTTGTTTAGAACCAGTATCCTGGACGACGAGCGAGCATGTTGTTAGCACTTCGGTACTTCAAGCTACTGCTTATTCATTGTGATTGGATGGAAGATGTCAAGTGTAAAGATGTTATGGTTTGTTGTATCTACATTAAAAAAACAAACCCATATAAACCTTGCAGACATATTACTTTTTGTCTGTTAAAAAGTCACGGAGTATAAAACTGTGTAACCGTTGTTTTTATAGTCCCTTCTTTCTTTCACTTTTCGTCTTATTTGTAGGTATGATCAAGGACAAGACTGGATCCTATACAATAGTGTTTATTGCTCTTGGTTTTACCAACTGTTTAACTGTGATCCTCACAATTGTCTTCTTGGCTGCCCAACGGAGACGGGATCATCTCACATTACAAAACAAACAAGACAAATAATTAAGGAATTGATGATCACAGCATCTCTTACTCTTAGTCTTGCTCTTGGAGATGTGGTCTAGTTGATAGATCAACAGACTGTAGATTAGAAGGTGCGGGGTTCAAATCATAAACCCGGCACTAACGTTCTTTGTCAAAACGTTAATGTACATTTGCCACTTGAGACCCAGGTGTTAATGGATACCTGGTAGGATGCGGAAGTCATTGTAGTTTGCTAAGCATTGTGAGCGTCTGTAAAATGGCGCCTGGCTGGTATGCCCTCCCAGGGAGTTGAGAATGTGAAATCATTGTTTACGGGCAAGCCCCTGGATGACCGGGATAATCATAATTAGTAAAAGTGCGTAGAGACATCGTCGATGTATTAAAGGGACAGTTGAGCTTTTATTCTATTGAAATATTTTTAATCAGAATAATAAGAATTGAAATATTTGTAATCAGGATAACAAGAATCAGATATACATTGTAGATACAAAATATGTTTTTCATCCTGGTTCTGAACACAATAAAAATGTGATACTATAGTATACGGAAATATAAATAATGAAAATCACCAAAGCTCACAAGCAAAATGTAAAAACAGTATGAAACTAATATATAAGAATAATACGCATCAGAAGTGGTAAAAAGTTCTTGTTTAAGCTTGCAAATGCATTCAAACCTGCATGATTATTTCTTTTATTCTTATTATGACATTTCTAGTGCCCTTTTAGGATAAAAAATTGCTATGAATGTAAGTTTAGTCCCCAACATGAAATTCAGATTAAATCCGATCATACCAATTCAGCTTCACTTTGAAATATACTTTAACAGTTAATTAATTAACTTAATAATATCAAATGATTCAAATGATTTTATTTCTCATGCAAAGCATTCCATGTGAGATTAACGTACACTTATACTGATACATTACTAAATACTCGACATGCAGGGTATTTCAAAGCTGATTGATCTGAGCTTTGTAAAAACTCTATTATTTGGCCAATCAGTCCATACAATGAAAACAAGCATGCATCCAATTAAGTGCCTGATCGGAGAGGGTGTGGCTGTACACGCATGATCAATCCCTTCTTGTTATGATACTCAGTTGATATACTCGAGAGGGCAAACAAGTGTTGATTCAGAGTAGTAGATCCATGATACCACAACGTACAGAATATATTACACTGATTTATTGAATGTGCATACTACAATGCGGATCGCATTCTATATTCTGCGTTTATTCCCCCTTTCAATTATCTCTGCAACTCATGCACTATAGGCCTTTAATGCAGAAGACTGACCCAATCTACCCTTTTGTATTGTTCACAATCTCAACTATTTTATACGATTTACTTGAATTGTAATTCCTAATGCCCGACTTGGCACGTACAGGTATCTTAATAATGTTTGTTGTGGCCTCACAGTTACCTCACCATTCACCCCTTGTCAAACTTTCGTCACTGCATATATCATGTACTCTCTAATCAGAGGGGTGTGTCTACTCCACTCTTGTTTATCATAATTTTATCCTGATACTCTGCTGAAGCGCCCGACTGGGCGTGTATTTCGATGCTGATTGATAGAGTTTTGTAACAGACTTCTGTATTTTTCATATCAGTCTTGTTTACACGCATGTACATACTAACACATATGCATCCACGTTTCTGATCATAGGGGGTGTGGCTACGCAAGATTAATTGTTATTGTACCTCTACTTTTCTGAAATGTTAGGCAACACGAACGTGGAATTACTTTACTACACCTGGTGTATAAGGCGATCATTTGAATCTGATCAATACAATGTGAAATGTATGTAACCACTCAGTAGCTATGTACTTACTTTAATCTCAAATTTTTAATATCTTGCACTCCTTGCTAACCTTTAAGTTTACAAGAGGAATACTTTTTTTGGTTATGACAGTAACTAGTATACAGAAGATAGGAAAATAAAAAATAAAAAACAAACAAAAAAAACAAACAAAAAAACAAACAAAAAACAAACATACATATTTTTCATTTTATTTTATCTAAATTTTGAAGGCCGATACACTCAGTGGATACACTGAGTGGATCCTGATCCACTCATGCTTCTTTATCACAATATATTAACAATATTCCTACATTGTTCACACCCCTGAGCTTATTTAACGTATGGCTTCGTTGCACTTTATGATTAAAAAAAGTATATTCCTGGGTTTGCTCCTTATGTGACCGCTTATTTATTATTCTTTTATGTGTAAATGATTTCAACTATTATATACATGTTCTTAGGTGGTTGAGCTCTGCTCTACTGCTTCCAGTGATTTTCTTATGCTGACCAAGATGGGTCTTATTATTTTTATAGATGAACTTTATATTGATATTGACTGCACATCAGCACACACGAACACACGTTCAGTCACTTGCAAACGCACCTACACCACAATCACGCTTGTAGTACAGCGGATAAGCTCCCAATATAATGAAAATTGTGCACTTTTTGAGAAAAGCATGAAACTTCTAGCATATTTGGTTTAGACCATAAGATTTATTTTCAGATGTGGAGGGAAGTCAGATTTGACCTCGGATGACCCTGAGAGGTCAAATCCAAAATGGCCGCTATTCCTCATGGTCTAATGTACAAACACACTTAACTTTTGAACCAAATAGTCCAGAAAAACGTTTAAGGTGTCATTTCCAACTAACTTGGGGATGCCAATTCATTTGGTAATACTTTTGAGATCGCTTGAACTTAGGGTTTTGCATTTAGGTCAAGGTCATGGTCAAAATTGACTAAAAAATAGCAAGTTTTGAATGGTTACAAAAAGTTTTTCCACGTCCATGTCCACATCCACGCAAATCTAAAAGTCCCTTTTGAGGAGAAGAGGAAGACCAAAATATCGTGTAATGATATGGTAACATGGGCAGATCTACGGGGGGGGGGGGGGGTAGGGGGTTTAACCCCCTCCTCCCCCCGGCCCCCTTGGGCTGCCAAGTGAAAATGTGATATTAAAGCGGGGGGGGGGGAGAGAGGGGGATGCTGGAGAGGAGGACTACTAATCTATTTTATTTTTTTCAGGGGGCGGGGGGAATTGAAGCGCCGTTTTAGCATGACTTTCTTTTTAACACTTACTTTCACCTATCTCAGATAACCCTAATTTTTTTGTTGCTGCTTTATATGTAGTTGATAATGCATGATTAAAATAAAGAGAGAGAGAGAGAGAGAGAGAACCACCATCATTTTGCAATGGTTTAGGGTTCGTGTAATGTACATTTGAAACCATTTCTTAGCGTCTCAACCCTAAAAAAATAGCAAAACTACTTTTGAGGAAAAGCATTATACTGAATTAAATAAAGAATAATAGCTTTATATTGGATCATACTTATACTGATACGGGCTAAAGACAAAGTGGTATTTGTATAGAGGTATTCCAAAATGACACTCTGATAATCAACATTTGTTCTGGTATCATAATGTATATACGCATAATACAACTGATCTTTATGATTTCTTAACGTGACATAGCTTCTTCTCCCTCTGCAAACAAAACAGAAAACAAGGTTATTTAATAAAAGGACCATGCGACAAATAATCATTGTGATTCAAATTGATGCAAGGATTTTTTTTGAATAAACAATGCTTTTCACCAGAATCTTCTTTGTAAGCGGACAAAAAAAATCGCAACGACTCAACCAGCTGGAAAGTCGCTCAGTGGGGGGGGGGGGGGGGGGGGGGGGGGGGGGGGGGGGGGGGGGTAGTGAGCACATTTTTTTTTTTTTTGTGGTCCTCGAAATTTTTTTAATTTGCACCCCCCCCCCCTTGAGTGCCAGGGGGGGGGGGGGGGCCAACCCCCCAAAAAGGTAAAAATCGCGTGATTTTACATGATTTTTTTTCTCAAGGGGGGGGGGGCCGGGCCCTGGATCCGCCACTGTTGTTATCCAAGGATGTTTGGGGGTTTTTCTATTATTTTTTTACTTTACCTATGGGAATATTTCTTTCATAATAATGTATTAATTTATTATTCAAGAGATTATATGATATATTATGTTCGCGTCAGCTTCATTGTATACATCCTCCCACCCCTCAATTAATAAGTCTTGCTTCATTAATTCAATATTACGTTTAGATTCTTTTCGATATGTACGTTGGTTAAATGATTTGGGGCATGGTAGTTTTAATTCACAAGTTAAAAATATTGGTAAGTGGTCTGAAACTTCAGAGCATAGAATTCCTCCTATCATTTTGTTATTCATGTTGTTATGTACGTTGGAAAAAATGTTGTCAATTTGAGTTGATGAATATGGGTTAATTCTGGTGGATTTATTGATGAATGAATGGAAGCCGAATGAGTACATAAGTTTCATAAAATTGTTTGAAGTATTATTGACGACTGAGGGTAAGATTGATATTAAAATCTCCAAGAATAAAAGTATGCTTATTTTCATTACCTATTATATAGAGATATTGCTCAAGTTCCTTATAAAATAAATCAAGATTAGAGCCTGGCGGTCTATATATGATATTCTTAAATCCTGTGTTTTCAATTTCAATGAATAAAGTCTCTGCATGTAACAGTTTCACATCGGAACGGATCTTAAATTTCAGTTTTTCAGCAATGTAGAAGGCCACGCCTCCGCCTCTTTTTCCTTTGCGATCTGCCCTTATCAACTTATAATTTGGTAAATTAAACAAATCTGGGGGATTTTCATGTAGCCATCTCTCGCTAATACCAATAACAGAGAATTTGAAATTGTTTAACGTGTGTAAGAGATTTTCAAAATATTCGAAGTTTCTATTCAGACTTCTTAAATTTGCATGTAAAAGGGAAATATCATTTGGATTACTATCAAACATGTTATTGAATTCTTGAGGTGTGTAGTATTTGCTATTGTATGAATTTTCTATGTAATTATCAGGAATAAAAGAGAGTGACTCCATCAGAAACGATAAAATGTAAAGTACCAGATATTATGTAAGGGATCAACTGCAATAGTGCAGCGGCTTAGCAAGAAAATTGTGCACTTTTTGAGAAAAGCATGAAACTTCCAGCATAGTTTGCTTTCACCATAAGATTTATTTTTAGATGTGGAGGGAAGTCAGATTTGACCTCTGATGACCCTGAGAGGTCAAATCCAAAATGGCCGCCAGTCCGCATGGGCTAATGTACAAACGCGGTAACTTTTGAACCAAATAGTCCAAAAAAACGTTTAAGGTGTCATTTCCAACTAAATTGGGGATGCCAATTCATGTGGTAATACTTTCGAGATCGCCAGAACTCAGGGTGTTGCATTTAGGTCAAGGTCAAGGTCAAAATTGACTAAAAATAGCAAGTTTTGAATGGTTACAAAAGGTTAAATCCCCATTATATGTCATTTGTTCTCCCCTATGTTCTTAAATTTATTAAGGAATGGTTCCACTGCCGAGTCCTCCACCTTAATCCTTTTCAGTTAGTTTATTTCACAGTTTGATGTGACCTCTGATGACCCTGAGAGGTCAAATCCAAAATGGCAGCCAGTCCGCATGGTCTAATGTACAAACGTGAACTTGAACCAAATAGTCTAGAAAAAAGTTTAAGGTGTTATTTCCAACTAACTTGGGGATGCCAATTCATTACGTAATACTAAGAGATCGCCAAAACTCAGGGATTTGCAATAAGGACAAGTTCAAGGTCATATTAGGTCAAAAAAGTGATGTTTTCTTTTTTTTAAAATAAACGTTGCCTCTATTTTGACACTTAAGGGGCCATTATTTTATAAATTAATAAAAAGACCCGTGTACCACCACTTTGATTATCCAGGGCAAACTTGTATATAGCTGCTTATCGGCTGGTCCTGTCCTTACGTATGAGTTTCTACTTCATAGCACTGCTAACCGTAAGCACACGAAAGTTGATTAACCTTACGCTGCTTACTGGATGAAAATGAATTTTGTAACAATGCACATTCATTGTGAACGCACAAGGTGGACGCCTTGTTTTCTTGCTAACCAAATGTGTCTGCTACAGTTTTAGCACGAAAATTTGCAAAAAAGCTATTCCAAATACGACCTAAAACCTGTTCATTACCACAGCTATAGATATCCACATGTATTTAGCACTGTCCACAACTTGTGAATATCCTAATGGTAACGATCAAAATCTATCAGTCTCCAGAACAAGAGCACAATATTCAGTGCATCCTTTCTTGCAGCGACAGTGGATTACTCATGGCACAATTTTGATGCTTCCGGGAGAGTGGTCCAAAGAGGCTGCCACCCAGTTTCGTTTGTCCAGCCTAAGTCAGATGGCTCTGGCATCTCTGGATTCTTGGCCAATATCTGGTTCCAACAGTTGGCCTGGTAGCAAGTGCGCTTGAAGTGCTGCTTGAGTGCTGCCTGGGTTGGATGAATGTTCTCCAGGTTTCTAGACTTCTGTGCGAAGAGCTGTTTCCTGGCATCATGCACTAGGTATACTCTTACTGGTTCGGTCGTATCAGCACCACAAATCGCTCTGGCAGTAACATTGATCCTTCACTGACCGCCCTAGACATGTACAGGAGTTCACTGAAGGAATCATTCACCTCTGGGAAAGACTTCTAAGTTTTTCCTCTGAATGCAGAAACAGTGTGACACCCGGTGAACGCATGAAAGATTGGGAGAGGTACTCCAGAGTACTCCACTTCCATCTGTTGCATATTATACAGTTCCTTGCCTTGTGGTAGAGGAAGATGAACGACTTCGCATGACATGAAATCAAACAATTCGGTTTTGTTCTCATTGACTCGAAGGAAGTCCTTCAAGCTTTTTGGCAGCAAAGTAGAAGGAGCCACCCTTTTTCCGGTGCCCTTTCCCCTTTCCTGCCTTATTGAGGCTTTCAGGCTAGCAGGTAAGTATACACCCTAGTCAAGGTCGATGCGGATGCTTTTCTCGAGTTGAGCAAAGATGTATGGGACAAACACTCTTTCTCCATACTCTTAAAGTGTTCTTGGTGTTCCAGGATTGAGCATTTGAACCACAGCTTCACCATCAATAATTATTGCTTGGGCCACAGGTGCACTATTGTTTTCGAGCAGATTTGATTCCAGGCAGCGAAGTAGATCTGCTTGAACTCCAAATCGCATTTTCCTCCAGTTAACATGCAAAGCTGGCGGGGCTGCCTGGTTTTCATGAGAGAAGATATCTCCATCCCTTGTCTGACACGAGATGTACATCCTGAAAAAGAGACCACGTACAGTCACTATTAGGTGCTG